GCTCCTTAAAACCCTCCATTTGCGATACAAACCGACATACTGCATCCTCCAGAAGGTTAGATTCTGTGTATTAGCTTGTAATTTTTATCTACATGCTACAAACACCTTTTACATTTATTTTATACAGCAATGGATTACCACAGTGTCCCCCTGATACGCAGATGTGCGGAAACATCACCGAACATCCAAACAAACTATAAAATATATTTTGCATGGATTATTGTATTTCTTGTTTGCTTCACTAGCTGAGAACTGTATTTCTGTATTCAACAAGCATTAGAGCTTTTACCTGTTTTATTGCATTCCTGATGGCTTCTGGCAAGGGGGCAGTGTTCCCAATACAGGTTGAACATCCATAACCAACAACCTCAAACCTACATTGGAAAAAGACAATCAAGTAACACATTAAATGATTACAAGCAATTTGTTAGCAAACCAGCTTTTTCTTCTATTATCAATCACTAACAAGATTTTTATCCCCTTAAACAAGTAGGAAGCAAATAGTAAACACCACATCTCACTGATGCAAGCAGGAAGGGACAAGGTATATTTCTGTAATCAATCAAGGCAAGTCAAGATGTCTCCAGACGTTGCTAGTTCCACAAGTAATGGCAAAGCAAAGCAGCACGTTCCTCGCACAGCTGAGCACTGTTACAGAATTATGAACATAATCTGTAGATCCCTACTGAGAAAACAGAGCTCACATGAGGTAGAGACCTACACACAGTAAACTCTCATTTTAACTACTGGCTGCCTGGAAGTTGTTTTACTCCATTTAATTCCCACCTTACGACCTAGTAAGTTAAGAATTGCCCGACCCAAAATCAACAGTAACCATATGTGCCAAACTGTATAAAACCCCCTGTGCACTATTTTCCTAAAGTGACAAACGAAGTCATAGTCCCAACTTACCCAAGCTTACTGAGGTACGGTAGTACTCCGCTGGAACTGAGGTAATGCGTAACCATGCCACTGCCCGGTGATAAACTTGTTCTTATGTATGGCTTAACCACTAGGCCAGCTTCAACAGCTTTTTTGGCCAGGAGTCCTACCAAGGAAACAAACAAATAAATAAAAACAACAAACTACAACAGCAGCAAGCAGTTTATGTTTTGTATATACCTTAAAAACACATCTGCAGGATGCTACCTTAGTTAAACAAAGCATAAAAGACATAGATGATGAGCAGACTTGCAGTTTATTAAATTATTAAAGCAATTACTTTCCTGAAAAGGTTTGTTAACTTGTAACAATACCATTCAGGTTTTTGTTCCCATTCCTATAATGTAGGTACCTATTTATTTCTCTATTAAAAAAAATAAAAATAAAAAAAAAAATATCTTTTTCCCATGTTCTAGCAGACAGTGCAAATCCCTTTATTCTACTTCTGACAGAGGCCACACAGCCTCAAAGGGAAGCTTTGCCTTGGCCACAGAGGACCTCAAAAAAAAAAAAAAAAAAGGGCAAGCTCTGAGAGAGGATGAGAGGATTAGCTGTTCTGTGAAAATTGTATGCAGCTTGTGAAGGTACAGCACATGCTCCTTAACTAGTGACTAAAGCACAGAACAATTGTGCAGCAATATGGATTTTCTTTCCAGATTCTGCAGCAAACTATAGTTCAAGCTACCACCATCTAGGATGGAGTCAAAGATGAAGGCCACCTCAAGCATCGATTGTATCTCTATGTGCATCCACCAAAAAAGAGCTCTAGAAGTGGTTAGCTGTTGAAATACTACCAAATGTAAATATTTCGTAATTACTATCATTAATATCGTTTCATGACATGGGTTTTGAGATTGTATTATTGAAAAGTAACTGTCACTATACAACCTCCAGAACACACAACGAGTGTAAGGCTGAAAGTTTACAGCTTCAGACCTTTTAGGTCAAGTCATTATAGAAAACCTGCAAACGTTAAGGTAACAACTGTGTAAACATGCAAGTTAGTTGTCACTAGTCACAACATACCTGCAGCAAGCATGACAGATGGATTACAATTATTTGTACAGCTGATTACTGCAGCAATGACAATGCAGCCGTGAGATAGCTTGTATTCGTTTCCTTCATACTGAACAGGTACAATGTCATTCTGTTTCTCAGCTGCAATCTGAAACCCTTTAACACCAGACTAGATGAGAAAAAAACCCACATTTTAGCAGTTATTACAGTATAGAAATTACGACACTGCAGCAAGACCAAGTGAACCTTCATTACAAACAACACTTTGCTGTCCCATTAGGAACCCTTAACTAGATTTTAAAAGCAGTCCTCAGTTCATGCCTCTTTCCATATACACAGTGGCCTCACCCTTCTTTCTTCCTAACTTCTTTAATTTTGCAACTACTGTGAACAAATGCCAGTCAAAGCATTTGGTTGACCCCACACTCATTTCCTGCTACACATGAAAAAACAATCCCTCACGAGTACATGTCTGACTGCAAACAATGCCCGTGTCTGAATGAGAAGCATATCCCTTGAACTGGAAGAGGGTGGTAACTAAAAGCAGACTAGGTCAATTAACATTTCACACCCTCCAGCTCTTGAGCTGTCATCCTCCAGGGCCCCCTTCAACCTACTCTGTGGTCCATGATCAGTTATTGCTCTCTCCAGTACAACTGATCTTTCTCTATTATACACCTCACTATAAGCCAGAAATGCTAAAACCAACAGAAATGGTTTTTTACAGGGTGTCTTAAGAATATATGTTTCTAGTACTGTTACTAGTCTTCAACTACTAACAAACACTAAAAAAAGATGCATTCCAGTATTGGCTGTATTCTCAGATAACTATGCATATTCCTAACAAAAAATACCACCTACAGAGTAAAAACACTTCCTCTGTGAAGTCAAGTTAAGCTGCAAGCAAAAATAACTTGCTCAGTTAAGAAACCAAAATACTGATTAGCTACAAATCTTGGAAGTCTTTCTGCACCTCCTCTAAGATGAGTTTTCTTTCAGTAATTATGTTTTCAAAATTGAGTAAAATACAGCTGTTAAAAAATGCTGAAAACAAGAAAACGTTTCCCAAGCTTACGCTATTTATTACTTCAAGGTTTCCCCCCCGTATCAATCTAATCTGGGACATTACGGATTTCTGGAAGTTCACGTTTGTGGCAAACACACCTGTGATTTATCAGCTACTATCTTTAGGACACTTGTCAAACAAGAGAAGCGTATCACTGGATATATAGTAATAAGGAGGGCTCAGCAGGTGTGTGAGGAGTAAGTAACAAGATTATTCCTGTAGACTGTAGGAAGTACCTTTTGAAGAGTAGAACAGTTGTACAAACCTTTTCATTTAAGCAGGCTTGGAAGTCACTTTTCATGTTATTAACAGCCACTCTGTCTTGGGACCTCTTGGGGCCACTGACATAAGGAATTATAGAACTTAGACTAATTTGTACTACCTAAAAAGAAAAACAAACAAATAAACAAAACAAAAAGCAAACAAAAAACCAAAACAGAGAAAAGCACACATTATCAATCCCAGCCCAATTTTACACTGAATATACTCTTAAGACATCCAGGACTTCTTTGTTTAAAATTTGAATGTTCTGACAAATTGAAAGTCTGGGCTTCCATTTCAAGACCACTCACCGTAAAAACCAATTAATTATCTTACTCAAAGTGTTTCAACAGTATCGTTAACTTTTCTACTATCCGTAAGACTTACCTGATCCCTCAGGAGTGACAGGATTTTAGTCTGCTAGTCGACATGAACATTACTGTACTTTCCTTCTTTCCCTTATCCCCCTCTATATTTTGCAAACATACTCTGCTTCTCAAAATTGTGAGTTAATAAATACAACTTTCCTTAAAGCAATGGAATTTACTATGAGAATCAAACACAGAGAAATACGTCATTTCAAGCATACCTGGGAATATTCAGGTTCTCTGGAAGAGCTCTCGTCATTTCTAAATAACTTCACAGCTTTAAGATAGGCTTCCATGACCTCAAGCTTGGCCTTGTCAAAACCTTATTAGGGTTATTTCAAACAAGAGAGAAGTCATGTTGAAAAACCCAAACCAAACCCCACATAATTCTCAGAAATTAAGACTGTTTCAGGCGTATCATCCCAAGCACTTTTTTCCCGAAGTCACAACCCTTCCATACCCCAACTTCAAGGAGCTATTCAGTTAAGCTGTTTTATCAGCTGAACTTTTCCTCTTATAGCAAAGAATAAAATAAGCTGTTTCAACCCTAGCAGTTGTAACCAATTCAATTTATAGATTCAACCCTGAAGTTCAGAAAGTTTTTCTCTATTAAGATGTACTTGTTTAATAGAGATCATGTACTTATTTGACATTTCATTTGCTCTGCACTGACTAGACAAAACATGGTTGCTATTAAATAAAAAAAAAATTTAATTTTCAAATACAATTGACAGATTTCACTTTCAGAACAGCTCACTAATGTGAATGAGCTCTTTCTGACATCTGTTACCCTATGGCCTTCTCTATTTGCAATAGCTTGATAAGGAACTGACATCCTTCCAGCTTAGCTTGAAATGTCACTGAAAGAATGTTCTTCAATGGGAAAAAAAAAAATCTTAGTGAAAAAAATCAAACACTTTGTGACTTGTTTTGCAGTTTCACTTCTAGTAATCATTTCGTATTTTGGTTTTGTGAGAAATCTACAAAACGTGAGCAAAAAGTTTCTTAATACTTTTAATGGTTTACATGTGCTTTCAAACACAATGACTGTGGATGTTTAAAAATAACACAATGTAAATAAATCTGGTTCTGATAAACCAGACTGGACACAAACCTCAAGTACAAGTCAGGTATCCACATGCTGGTGTTGAGTACACAAAAACTACAGCCTCACTTACATACGTGGGACACATGGAGACAAAACAGGCCCCAAGAAACATCTGTGCCAATGAAGCAGATAAGTAACACAGACCCAAATGCCACATACTGAGCATCCCACAAAACCAGCCAACAGTATCATTTTTGCAATAGGTATTACTCAGCCACATGAGATTTTTACAGGATAAAAGTTGTCGTCAAGTATATCCATTGACACAGCCTGTTACTACAGAGCAGAATTTCATACATTAAATCCATGTCAGAACTCTGCAGTAAATCACTGCTCAAGAACTATGGAGTTTCAAGCAAAAATGTACTGCCACGTATTTGAAACATTACTACAATGAATCACTATTTTAATTTCATCTTTACCTGCATGCTTTAAGTGCTTCAGTGTCACATTATCAACAGGGAAAAAGCTCAGAATAGCACCATATTCAGGACACATATTTGCTATCGTGGTTCGGTCTGCTACAGACAGCTGGGAAACTCCACTCCCAAAAAACTCAACAAACTTTCCAGCAACGTCAGCTTGCCTAAGATGCTGTTTAAAAGAACACAAAACATTTGTTAAGTGAAAACGTACAATGCAAGCGATGTTTGCTGCACCCATTCGCAATTAGCAGGTTGAGAGGATTTAAAACAAAAAGCTGAAACCCTAAGGTTTCACACTTTGTTTGAAAAGGCAGAGAGCTCTTACCTTTGTAATGCTCAGAACAATATCTATGGATGTAGCAAGTGGACTGGCTGTGCCCGTCAGTTCACACCCAACCACCTCAGGCAAAGTCAGAGTAACCGGCAGCCCCAGCATTACTGATTCTGTTTCAATCCCCCCAACACCTGGAAGGAGAATATTAGGTTGCTTTTCATCAGTTTAAGTAACCGACACAACCTAACAACGTTGAGGTCTTAAAAAGCTGAGAAAATCCTTCCTCTTAAGACTAAAGAGCACGCCAAGAAAGGTAGAAGTTCTCCGTTAAATATCTGTACACGCTGAAGTTAGACTTAACAGTTAACTAGAAAATATTTTATACTTTAAATTAACTTTCCAAGAGAAGAGAAATCTTCACATAAGTTTTATACTGCATGTAAAAACAGCACTTATTTGAATATCAGTTGGATTCTGGCTGTTTTCCAACTACAAAAAGCAGCTTCCTGATAAAAGTTAGTTAAAATTACTTTTGCACAAAAAAAAAATCCCCAAACATTCTGAAGAATTTAAGGCATTTTGTTATGCATGCAAAAGAAATAGCCAGTGGCAAGAAAGTATTTCTCAGTCATGCTTCAACATGCCGTTCAAAGCTCTATCAAGTTATTCTTAGCATACTTACCCCAACCCAAGATACCCAAACCATTTACCATGGTTGTGTGAGAATCTGTGCCAACCACGCTATCTGGATATAGGAAATCTTTAACTTCAAAAACAACTCTTGACAAATATTCCAAGTTAACTTGGTGTGCCATTCCAGTCTCAGGTGGAATTATGGAAATGTTCTTGAAAACTTTTGAACTCCACTGTAAATTTTTCCAAAATAGGAAAAAAAAAAAGTAGTTATGATTTTTCAAAGGTACATTCAATTTTTAGAACATAAGACAACAGAACTGATACACAATAAAACAGTACTTGCTATTTACATAAGTGGCTTTTGCTCATTTGCCAAACAGGTACATGATCCTCTTGGATTCTTTATACTTTAACACCAAAATTGTTGAGCTGAATCACGAACTCATACCTACACCTTTCAAAAGCAGGGCTGGGCAAATCTCTTACCTTCCAGACAACACAACAGATTTCAAGCACAGCTAAGACTAGTATTTAGACAGCAGATCCTAAGCACTTGTATTTATAGCAGAATTTATTTCAGGTTTTACACTCCTGGATAAGCTACATGCAAACTCAGGATGCTAGATTTGAAAAAAAGCTGACATGGAAACTTGCAAAAATACTCAGCTTGGCAGTTTCCCTCCTTAATAACGTAAAAGCTAATTCGCAACTTTCTGGAAGAAACCACCTATTCTACCTATATGAAAACATTTACAGATCATCACGCTGGATTCCTAAGCCACGGAAAATTAGTGGCTGAGGATCAAATACCAATGTTGCAGATCCCTAGCTAGCAAGGAAGCCAATGTTCACCACACAAGACTGCCATTAAGATCACTAGCACTGCTGCCTGCTTCCAGAGCACCGAGGTCTCGACAGCGGTCTCTGTTCACAACTCTCAAGATTTGTAACAGAAGTATGGATAAACGAACCTTTTATCCAGAAACTCAGTGTGATCTAAGGAACTGAGCTCATTACAAAGACCAATGCTTTGTAAATGCCTACTTTGTCCACTACCTTCACAGTGACAAGCACCAAATCAAACAGTGTAAACTCTTTCAAGATATAATTACAAAAAATTAAGGGACATTCAGATTTAGAACTTCCACTGTCTAACAGTTTTTAGATTCAAAGTCACAAACCACGTTATGAGCCAATTTTCTGTTCCCTTATTCTGTTCCAGATTTTGGAGTCTGAAATTGCAATTGTTTACAATAAGGGTGGTGAAACACTGGCACAGGTCACCTAGAGAGGAGGCAGAGGCCCCATCCCTGGAGACATTCATGGTCACATGGGACAGGGCTCTGAGCAACCTGATCTGGTTAAAGATGTCCCTGTCACTGCAGGGGGGTTGGACTGAACGACCTCTAAAGGTCTCTTCCAATCCAACACATTCTAAGATTATTTATATATTTATGATCAAAACCTGAACACTGGTAGACAAATAGAGCAAGCTCTTAAAACAATCACAACAAAATACAAATTCCATAGGTACACAGACATACCTTGAAAAACTGAAGTCTTTCTCTGTTTCTGCCAAATTCCATCTCTTGATTTTTCAATACTGTCTCAGGCCTAGGAAGAGATCAAGTTTACAAGGACAGTCATAATATATTTCAGGCTACAGAACAGATAGCTGGTTTTGCTTGTTTGAAGAAAAACAATTAAGCCTGCAGCACAATTCAAAGTGGTTTATTAGAACAAAGGTATGTTTTTCCTTGCAGCAAGCTTTCTGTTAACAACAAAAAAGAAATTATTTCAGCTGTGATTTGCTTGAGAACATGTTTATTCTAAGCACGGTTTGCCTAAAGCATTTGATCCCAAACACACTAATTTAAAGAGATCTATTTCAAGCATGAACATGACACAGAAGCTTTTTTTCTTCTAATCACTAGTCTTACAGGTTTCACACCTCAAAATTCAATACAGTTAAGAACCAAGATGGTCGCTAGTTCACACAAAAACTGTCCGTGTTCAGTACTAGCCCTTTAGAGACGGAGCAGAACATCAAGGCAACTGTAACTACCTCTCATTTCTGCATTTTTCCTCTCCAAGCCAGACTTTTTTCTTCTCAAGTACTCATCAGTATAGTCACTTAAAATGATCCACCTTTTCCTAATACATGTTCTTTATTAAATTACCAATACATTATAAAGGAGTAATCCACAATTTAAGAGGAATAACTTTTGCTTTGAGAAGATGGAGAAGGGAATACACTTGCTCTAGCACCAGGAAGGAAGGAAGCCCTCAATTTTCTAGGTGTATTTTACATTATGACCCTTCCTTTTCTTCTTTGCAGTGTCAGAAGGTCAATGGCTTAGCCCCAAGGATAGTCATCATCCACACGCAGCGTCACTGCCACAAACATCAATATTGCTGCGAGCATCATTAATTCTGCATTCTGGCACCTGTACTGAGCAGGAACATTTGCATATCTATAGAACAACGATGACAATCAGCTTCATATCACTGTGGAATACAGATTTGGTCAGCTTTTAACTCGACACCTGTCTGGCAGAGGCAGATAGGCATCTGAGCGGTCTATCAGACAAAAGAGGTGGCAGCTGAAAGAAGAGGGTCATTACATCTAATTGTCATAGATGGAATGGTGTGCAATGATCTGTTCATTATACTGAACATGTGGAAAAGGCAAAGAGATGAGGATTCCCTGGGACATTACGTACAAGTCAGGTTATTCACTGAATTTCAATTCAATGACAGATGGACTGTGAGATTCCATAGAAGCTGGGGGAAGATTCATAAGCTACTTCCTCGTTCTTTAAGAGATTTCTGAAAAGTTCTCACAGAAAAACAAAAATTTACTTTCAAAGATTTACTCTGCAATACATACTCCTATACAATATATTCCTACAGTTTGTTTTAAAGGAATGAGGGAAGTCTCAAAATTTTAAAAGTCAGAGCCACAACCTGGCCATCAGCACTGCATTTAGTAAAACCCTTGTAAAAAGAAAAAAATTCATTGTAGATTAATTCAAATCTGCTGTATCAGACCTTTTTCTAGATGCTGAAACTGCCTATGGCACACGTGAAAAAGAGTACAGTATGTTTAGAAAAAAATAAAATTCCCTCTCTATGAACTGTCACAGGCAGTGGTTAACAACACAGAAAGGTACCAATAATATCAAAAAGGAAGTTTCCATACTCAGGCACAGGCTGCAGATGGAAAGGACAGAGGATAGGGGTGTTCTCAATCTGCGCAGAAAATTGTCCCGCGTTGCGACTTGAATCTCCGGCGCTACACGGCCCCTTGCAGCCAGTCTGACCCCTGCAAGGCAGCTTCCGAGACTGCGCCTTGAGTGGAGAAAGCTTTGCCATCGGCTTCTGTGAATCGCCACCTCCGGGATTTGGAGCATTCTGTATTGCACTGTATCGTTAGAAAGAATATTTGAGACATTAGAAATTCAGCTTTTTTGGTTCTGTCCTGTTTTCTTCAAAAATAAAATATTGCCTAAAAACCCAGTCATTTTACTACAATCCTGTTGCAAAGTAAACTGCTCCTGGATAAGCTGTCAAGTAATTTAGTGTGGTAGTAAGTGAACAGAACTGGATTGTCTGAAATATTAACACCAGATAAACAACTTCTTCAATTTCTTCCCAATAGACCAGGAATATTTTATAAAGAACATCGCAAAGACTAAACTCTGGGTTTTAAAGGTAGGAGGTGTGTGTAGAGCCTCATCCAAGGCGCATGTGTGTTTTTTGAAGACCATGCTGTATATACGTTCTGTTAAATTCAGAAGAATGATTACAGAGAAAGCCTTCTCAAGGAAAGAAATGTAACTGGATATTTATGCTTTTTATACAAAATTTCAAAGGCTCAGATAAGTTTTGCGTTTTCCAAGTCCATGTAGCACGCTATCCCCTCTTTCTACAATATTCAGTCTACAAAAAAGAAAAGAAAGCTTGCTATACAGAATGAATGACGTTTTCCCTCTCAATAATTAGCAAATCATGGACTCCTAATTAGAGCTACTGCTTTCCTCTCCTTTAGTAACACAGAAAGACAGTTATTGAATTGCAGGATATTACATGGCCTCAGAGGATACCTTGTCTAAATCCCAATTTAGCCCCCAAGCGTGCGATCAGCAGGAGATGGAAGCTATACAAAAGCAGCACAGACCGTCCTGGAGCGGAGGGGTTCTTATCACAGGCCAGCAGCTGCAAAGATCCTGTAAGCTCTCCAAAAGTGAAACTACAGAAGCTGGATTTATCACTACAAAGCAGCATGTGGAGACCTCTTGCCAACACTTGGGTCTTTCTGATAATTTTAGGCTGGCCTAATTGCAACCCAATCAGCCGTCCTTCCAGACACCAGAGTGGACAGACCACAGAACTGAAACAACGCAGGCAAGACAACACACAATTTGTAGCCTCTTACTCTTCACTCTTCCAATACTAACCAAACTGAAACCCCGCGTGGAACTGGAAGGTCTACAGAAATGACTCATACATCCACGTCCATTTGACCACAAGCCTTTTCCCCATGAACTCTTAAAATTCCAGAAGACCTTGAACACTTTGCACAACTCTGCATGAATCCAAGTGGCTCCGCAATGGAGGGGCAGGTGAGAAGGTAGAGGGCAGCTGCATTATTTACTGTTTACTTCAGCAAACACTGAACAAAACGTGACTTTTTCCTCTTCTGCAGCATTATGTTTCTAGCAAAAGGCAGTCCCAAGCTGTTTTCATCACATTACTGCCTGTCAGAAAAGGAAAACCACGCTGGTAGTTTTCCAGTCCCAGCGCTTTTCCAGACTTCTACAACTAGACCTCTCTCTCTGCAAGGCCATGCAGGCTTTTCCAATCTGTTGCAAAATCCAGGCCCACTTAAAAAAACAAAAAAAACCCAAGAAAAAAACCCCAACAAATCAACAACAATCAGTCATAAACTACAGGCTGAAATGACAGTTTT